TTAATAATCGAAATACCAAAAACTCGAGCCGAACCGAAACTCGATATCCGGATTGAACACTTCTAATCCGAATGAAACCGAACTATTGATTCATTTTTCAAAACATAATAAAAATAATAGCTTCATCCCGCGCAAGGCGCGGGTCTTATCCTAGTTTATAGGAATTGACTTACAAGTTATATATCTACAAATGCAAGGAGGAATAACAAAGTGTAATAGTAAATCTATTATGGAATAGTCTAGCAACAAAACACCATTTTATTAAAACAATTACAAGACTACAATGTCCCATAGCATATATACCTTGTACACTACTCATATTACCACATAATATTCATTCAAACTTCAACAAAAGAAAACCTCATAATGACTAAACATATAGCAATTTTAAGATTGAAGTTGATTTTTCTCGAACCATGTTATCAGATTGAACATTATCATCACCTAACATAGAAACATGCAATTTTATAAATAAAACACAAAGTTACTACTTCGTATAAATATAGATTCCAACTTCAAGAAAATAAGACATCATAATAACTTGTGGGCTTCAAAAACATAAAAGAGATAAGAGTAAATTTTCTTTTTCCATCACCAAAGTCTCCTATGATTTCAATCTACGTATATTATACCTTTTCGAGTAATAGGTCCTCTTTCTTTATGAATCACTTTACCTTTCCTAGATGATGTAAACGTCTCCAACATCACTACTCCTTCCAAATTAAACACATGTCAACGCCACTGAAAATTAAAGAAATGATGAACGTGATAAATCTTTAATACCATTTTTCTTCAAAGTCAGATCTTAGTATTCATCAAGTGATCTTGATTACCATGAGCCCATGTATATGTACAATCTTGAATACATCAAATCATGAGGGGTTTTACAAAGAAACCCTAACAGATCTCTATTGGCAGTATGCCCACCTCCTCTCAGAAAACACAACATAGTTACGCAAATACACTTACAGACAGGAGGTGGACAGAATGCCAAAGATCTCTGTAAGAAACTCTTTTGTCAAACCCACATGATCAAAAAGGTTCACGATCCAAACTTTACCTTTCCGTTGTACACAGCAAGGAGCGAAAGGGTTACTATATAAAAGAAGAGAACAAAAGGTAAAGCGAGTACGTAAAGATATTGAACAATAGTGAGAGAGGTAAAGAAAGAAGTATATGGGTTTCTCTTAATGATGGTATATAGAGTGTTGTGTAGCAAAAAAATTATGAACTCATAAATATTTTATAAAGGAAAAACAAAAGAAACCAAACCCTAGATTGTGTAGTCACAAAGCTACGGAGAAGATCCAACAACAATCGTCTAAAAAGCTGGAAACTATATGGATGGGTTTAATCAAAGGAGAGGAGATCGGTTTAAAGATTCGGATTCGAAAAGACATGAGATCTAACAACTATGAACAGAAAAACTGTGAAGGGAGAGAGCTAGGCTAGAGAGAGAGAGATGCGATAAACAAGGAAGATGTAAAGAAAACAAAAACCTAATAATATAAGCTAAATAAATTTTCTTTTGTGGTTTTTCTTTTACTTTCCTAATGGTTGTTAATTTTTCTTTTTAATAAAATGTCAAAAGAAACTCAACGGGGTTCTCTCTTTCATGCATATCGCTTACCGTTCGTTTTTCTTCTTCCCTTTTCATACTTTTTGTCCGGACCACAAGTTAAACGGCACCATTTTATAATTGACTATGGTTATTAATCTATGATGCTACTGAACTGACAAAATAAATCTTTAAAAGTTATAAATCTGAATAACAAAATTAACAATCGCTGACTTCTGTGTGAGGCAACTTCCAACTGATGGGTCCATTTACTACTCCACCATGGAGTGGATTGCAGAATCCTAGGCTCGTCTAAATGCTAACACAGATTTTAGAATGAAGATCAACCTTTTAACCTAGTAATTAACCATGATACGCTAATTACTTCATATAGTATTCAATAATAAGGTTCATCTTGTCTTCTTACTTCAAATGACGAAAATACAATTAAAATGACATCAATTCATAATTTATTATAAGGTCATACTTCCCTTCTGTCGTTTGATATGTCGCACTCATCACTCCCACAACCTCCAAAGTCTCGTCTCATTTATTCCTTGTGACAATTTGTTTTCTTCTTATTTTATTCATTCACTGGTTATAGTATTCTCTTAATTAACGGAACATATTCCAATAAATTAACTTTTTATTAGAAGTATGGATGAGTAAGCATTGCATGCCTTGCGTGCATTAACTGCAACAACTCATAATTTTCCCCACTATTTATTGCCTCAAAATCTACCACTCCACCCAAACAGTTCTCTCCATTAAATTCTCACATCTTTGATTTTACTAGCTTTCAGTCTCCATTTTTAAACCAAGGAACGGAACCATCATACTACATTATACCAGAATTCAGTAGATAATGACATGTTCATTTCTTGGAATAATGCATTTGTGATATCTTGCTGCTTAGTCACTGACAACATTATTGTAATAATATGATCTATATCTTTAAGAAAAAAATATATATACAAAAGAAAAGAAGCTGAATCTACAAAGTTAGCCTGAACGGGTTTAATACAGTTCTGTTTAAGAAGATATGAACGAGGTTGACAAAATAGGTTTCGTATTTGTTTTGTTTTGTTTGAATTTGAACTATCCGGTAAAACGAAGTAAATACTTTTTCAATAAAAAACGAATTTATTGTTCTTTTGACTATAGAGAACAAAAAGCAGAAAAATGAAAATGAAACTTCGGGTTTGTCGAATAGTGGTATATGATTAAAACTATTTAAGAATTGGCTTCACATGTTACTTTTCATAATATGTTTTTTTTTTTTGAAATGGCTTTCATTCATAATATGTTTTTTTTTTGTAATTTGTTTGCTGTTTCAAAAAAAAATTGTTATGAAAGTAACAAGTGAAGCCAGTTCTTAAATAGTTTTAATCATACCACTGATACCACTGACTATTTACACACGTTTTGATATCTCAAAAGTTTATGACAAGACGAACATTTATACATGAATATATTTCGCATATTGTGTTGAATAGTAAAATATAACACTGTTGCTATGTGTTACAACAAAATACATACTTTTTTTTTTTGAGAAAGGGCATAACAAAATACATACTCTTTAGATGATGTTTTGACATATCTATGTCATTTTTAACTTTATTAAAAAATGTTTAACCAATTAAATTAGACATCCTCGTTTCTAATTAGGTGCATTATTTTTAGTTTTTAATTTTAAAAATACTTTTTTTAAGTAAATTTTTTCTTAATCGTGTTATGCTTTCTTCCAAAACATCATGTATAATGTAACATTGAGATTAATATACACGAAGATCTTTGAAAAATGTTATTCATGCTTGATAGATCATAAAAATGTTAACAGATTTTCAGATTTAAGGCATGAACTCGACTGTAAAAGAGGTCAACACTTTTGGTTTGCTTTTAGAAAGCTTTCTTTTGCACTCCATCTTCGGGACATTCTCTTTATACAGCAAAAGTTATGGGGTCTATAATATCATTTTGACGTTAGCTGCATGATGGGACTGTTACAAACGGGACATTTTCGTTATATCAACATGCTCATCATCATCGTTTTCTCCGGTTAATAGTCACTGCTAAATTCCTCATAAATCATGTATCTGCATTGTTCTGTATAACTGTAAGTACGAAACAAATTGTAGCTTTATCAAAGTACAGCTTTAGTCCATGACCATTAAACAATTAAGAAGAAGAAATCATTAGTATATGACCTTTTAACACCGCATGTCACGTGAACCCAGAATGGTGTTAATGATTGATTCGATTTTGTTCTTTATGCAGTTCCCAAAATTTTAACATACATATATTTATATATACATGATTAACATACATGTAGCATACAAAACTAGTCAAATATATAAGAACACAAGTTGGAAAAGACTGTCAAAACCTCAAACGATAAGACATGATATGCTGCAAGGCAAAAAGGGTATCGAGCTTTTGTTGTTAAATTTTCAAAACTTGAATCTTGAACTCCAGTGGTAAGAGAGGTGCACCCGGTTTAATTCACGCTGAAATAAATTATTTATAATGTTTGGGTTTCACCACACAAAAATATGAAACTATCCCTATATATAACAGAAACATAAGCTGCTGTAGAACATTTCCAAAAACATTTTATAATTTCAAATATGAAAATTTTAACTGTCCAAAAAGAAATTTTAAAATTTCAAAATTTAAAATTTTGAGTAGTGAATTTTTTTTGTCAAAGAATAGTAAAATTTTAAATATATAATGTCATTTCTCAAAATTTCAAATTTGAAATTTTATATTTTGTTTGTATTTTGGTCCTTACAATTATACAATATATTATAATTCTTATATATTTTGTTGTATATCGTTTCAATCCTTAAAAATTCTTATCTTATAAATATTTTAAAATTATTTTTAGAAATTTAAATTTTACATAATTTTTTTTTAAAATAACATCAAGATAAGATTTAAAATATTTGAAAACTAAAACTATACAACAACAATATTTACAAGTTTTGATGTGGTCTTTTGCTTGTAGTTTAATATTTAATTATATGTTTCTGTTTATAATTTTATATTTTAATTTAACATTTATCAATTAATATTGCTGTAATATTTTTATATATGTGATAGTTATTTATAAAATTTCTATGATTTGAATTAGTTATGATAAATATAAGAACATTAGTATAAAATACAAACTGTTTTGAAATTAAGTTTAAATTTTGTTTTTGAATTATAACATCTTTAAACTTCAAATAAAGAATTTTTAAAATTTTAAAATAAAAGGTATTTTTGGAGCTGCTCTTATATAATCTCTCACTTCCTATACTCCTACTCTATTGGCCACCAATAACTATTATTTGTAATTTATTAACATTCTCTTTTATCCTTTGGGTGGAATATATACAATCTACACTATATGGTTTTGAATCTGTTAACTATATAGAATAGTTACATAAATTATTGTTTTATTTTTCTAACGAACCTTTGCCACTTACATCATAATGTATGTTGTAATCTGGAATACTTAAACTTTTGAAACACAACACAAGTCAACACACAAATAATGCTTACTTTATAAACTAAAGATGTGTTATAACAATATGGCGTCATGAAGACGTAAGCTGTGGACATTATTTATAGTTATAAATACAGGATTTTATATCTGTAGACTCTGAAAGCCAGAAAACCTTTGAGACCATAAGATTACTTGTGCCAGACGGCATAGCGATGGCCACTTGTTGCTAGAGTCCACTCTCTACCAGAAGGACACCAAGAGGCGTCTCCAAGCTTCATGCACAGTTTCTCACCAACAATGGCTGCGTATAAATTCGACTTTGCTTCCAGAACACGAATCTTTGACCTACTATGTATATCTTGTCGCCTCCTAACGTCAATCTGTCAAATGAACAATAATAGAAAGAACAAAGAAGACCGGTTTTTAGAACAGTTTGAGAAAAAAACATCAGCTCGTGGTTCTATAGGAGAGAGTGAAGTGAACAAACATACCAGTTTGACAATCTGATCATGAATCGAGCTTCCCCAATCGTAGAAGTGATCATAGAACACACATGGTATGCCTGGATGAGTAAGTATATATGCATACCCCTACAAAAGACACAAAACACACACATCTTTATTTTCGTTGTTTTGATTAGACAAAAGGAAGTGATTGTGTTTTCGTTTGGAGAACTTCTTTACCTCCATTAGATGGTGTGAAGGGAAAGGCCAGTGAGCCTGTGAGAGCAACAAAAAAAAAGAAAAAAAGTAAGCAAAGATGTGGACTCTGTTTATCAACCAAAGTGCATAAGTTAGATATATACCTGAGTAGAACCAGTGTCATGGTTATCAAGGAAGGTGACAGCTCTTGACGGCCACCATCCCATTACTCCAGGAGGCTTCCCTTGTGCATCACATAAACGCCAATACTGACCCTTTACAGCTTCCTATAGTATATCATCAGATGACATGTGAGGTTCAATAAAATGAAGAAACTATGAATCATATAAAACAAGGAGCTGAAACAAACAATGTTCTATACCTGCAGAATTCCTTTAGTAGTGAAGTCAAATGCAGCTGAAAGCTGTCCCGTGGCATCAATCCAATTGATTATACGCTGTCTATGGCTATCTACAAAGAGAGAAAAACACTGATATAGTTTCAATCACATCCAATTGTCAACACAGTTAAAACGGTATAAGAAGAAGAAGAAGAGTTATGAAACCTTGGTTATAGTCAAGACCATGACCATTGTAGTTACAAGAATCCCAACATTCTCCAACTGAGAACACCGGTTTCGCTGCTCCTATGTATTCCTTCACATACTGTGCTGAATAGCTACACACAGTTTGCATTCAAAAAACTTACACAGATCAAGAACTCCACTAACAAACAAACAAAAAAACAAGCTAATCAAACAACTTCTTACCCTCTAGCAAAGTCAAAACGGAAGTCTTGAAACCCGACGGTGTTGCGCAACCAACGAAGCCAACCGATTATATCTTTCCTAACAAAGTGTTGAGTATGATCAACATTTGGAACTCCATTGAAGTTAACTCCTGTGCTTCGGTTCCCCTGTTAGTTTTAAAAACGTTTTTGCTTTAGCTCTCTTAGAACATAATGAAGTTCAAAAAACATGTAAAGAGGAATCATCACTCACTAGTCCTCCTGTACATGAAGTAACGGCGTGTTCATCCCACGGCAATGAGATTCCATCGTAGCGGTTATACATTCCACCATGTCCTCTCGTTGTGCCAACGCGATGGTTGATGACAATATCAGCCATAGCTCTGACTTTGTATTGTTTCATCTTACGAAGCAAGGATTTCAAGAGATGCTCGGAGCCGTATGCTGAGTTTAGTGAGTAAAGGTCCTGTGGAAGGTACCCTGCAATCAATCACAGTAATAACCAAATTATTAAGTATGTATAACTTATTTGTATTAGTATCATTTTTCCTCTAAACCTTCTGGTGCAAGAGATTGAGACGGTGGTGGCAGCCATGCAGAAGTAAAGCCAGATTTTGCGATGTCAGGAACTTTTGAGTCCAAGTTTTTGTACCAGTCATGTTTATGAGATTCCCAGTTATAAGCCTGAAACAGAGTTTCTCTTAGGATCTAAACCAAAATATTGCACAGTTACTTAAAAGAACCGTGCTATAAGAGTCCAAAAAGAAGATGAGGGAGCTTACCTGGAGAATGACTTCCCTTCCATTACGTATAACCGCACCTGATATAGAGAGAAGCAAGAGACGTTATAAGTTAAAAAGCTCAAACATTCATGGACAAAAGGCTCAAATCTTATATTAAATCCTTGGTAAATGAGAACATACCGATATCAGTTTGGTCATTGCATCCATCAAAGACCTGCAATGCAATTCAAGTAACGTGCTTTTAATTAAATTAACGAGAGATGGAACAAGAGTTTCCGAAACAGAGTGTTAAATAGCAAGAAAGAAAGAAAGAAAACAAAAAGGAACTTACATTGTTATAGTAGCCCATGTCACGCAACAATGGTTTCAAGTTTAGCAGTTACCTGCATTTACATTAATACCATATCAGAGAGTCTAAACAATGAAATGATTTGTGAAGCAGTTAACAAGTTCTTAAATTTCAAAACATGTACTGGACAAATAGTCAAATACACAATAGAAATATTCATAATGAAGACTTGAACTTCCAAAAAGTAAGAACCATAGATCACATACCAGGGTGAAGAGAAGAAGCTACACCGCTTGCGTTTTATTGGGATGAGCTTCTACCTGCATATATATAGGAGAAGAAAGGACGTGAAGTGATTGAACAGCTAATGTACCTTAACGAATCAGAATCAGAATCAAAAGTCAAAACAAGTTATGGCCGCAAACACACACAACTTTCTAAAAAAGGTGAAAGTGAAGATTGAAGAGGAAACAACAAACGGAGCAAAACCAAAGTTGGAAGATTCGATTCCGCGGAGGAGAGGGTTAACAGATGATAAGCGCCAATTGCAGAACACCTTCTTCGAGAAAGGTTAAACCTTTTTTTGAGTGGAGAATCTATTTCAAGTAGAAAGATATAAACTTTTCGTCTCTTAGGTCTTCTAGACTTAGTCGCTAAACAAAGCTCCATAAACTGACAATTGTTTGAGTTCTCTTTCTTTCGTCCTCTGATTAGTAAAATTGAAGACACGCGTTGACTCCTGAGATTATTTAATAAGATCGTATACACTTCCATATGAAACGCGTTAAGTACTTACCTGAAGAAGACGAGTTTTGAAAGTTCCATACTTTGTATATATATCTAGAGAGAGACAGATCTATGAACATAAGTCTCTCTCTGTTTCAGACTTGTCTGATCAAATGTTATTATCGTTGGTTTTATTCGGTTTGCTTTGGTTCGGTTCTGTTCGAATTTTGAGGATTTTTCGGTTTCAGAAATAGGCACGGTACACACAACATGATGTTTCTTCAAAAGGAAAATTACACAGTCTAAAACATTTTCCAATTGGAAAAAACATGACTTTCTCAAGTTTATATGATTCTTCTCTTATTGGTGATATCAACCGATAGTTAGACAAGTAAGAAAAAAAAAAGCAAATGAAAATCAACATAAAACCAGTAGTATAATCACTCTGCTGGTAAGATTACCTGTGCCAGACAGCATAGCAATGGCCACTTGTTGCTAGAGTCCACTCTCCATCAGAAGGGCACCAAGAGGCATCTCCAATCTTCATGCACACTTTCTCATCAACAATCGCTGCGTATAAGTTTGACTTTGCTTCCAGGATACGGATTGTTGAGTTACTATGTATATCTTGTTGCCTCCTAACCTCAATCTGTCAGTTAAAATTAACCAAAGAACAAACAACACTGGTTTTAGAACAAATTTAAAAACTATTAAATAAAAAAAATCTCTCACATAGGAGATTGGAAGGTATATTAACGAATATAATAACGGAATGAACCAACTTGCTTATACTCATCTGACAAAACAAAAACATCAAGCTCGTGGCTCCTTAAATTAAAACCGGAGAGATTGAAGTGAACAGCATACCAGTTTGACAATCTGATCATGAATTGAGCTTCCCCAATCGTAGAAGTGATCATAGAACACACATGGGATGCCTGGATGAGTAAGTATATATGCATACCCCTACAAAAGAGACAAACACACATCTTTTTCTCATTATTTTGATTAGAGAAAACTTGATTCCCTCCAAGGAAGTGATTGTGTTTTTTTTTGTTTGGAGAACTTCTTTTACCTCCATAATATGGTCTGAAGGGAACGGCCAGTGAGACTGTGATAACAACCCAAAAAAAAACAAAGTAAGCAAACATGTGAGACTCAGTTAATCAACCGAAGTGCACAAGATATATATTTATGTGGAAATAGGTTTGATACATACCTGAGTAGAACCAGTGTCATGGTTTTCAACGAATGTGACAGCTCTTGAAGACCACCATCCCATTACGCCTGGTGGCGTCCCTTGTGCATCACGTAAACGCCAATACTCACCTTTTACAGCTTCCTGTAGTAAGTAGTAGTATAATCAAATGATAATTAGAAACGTGAAATGTGTAACCAAAACTCTACGAATCATATAATACAAGGAAGGAGCTGAAAGAAACTACCTGTAGAATTCCTTTAGTCGTAAAGTCAAATGCAGTTGAAAGCTGTCCTGTGGCATCGATCCAATCTATTATGCGCTGTCTATGGCTATCTACAAAAGAAGAAGAAAACTGAAATTACTTGTCAAGACCTAGCGGTATAAGAAGAAGAAGAAGCAGTGAAACCTTGATTATAGTCTAGAGTCCCATGCTCATTATAGTTGCAATCATACCAACATTCTCCAACTGTGAACAACGGTTTCGCTGCTCCTATGTATTCATTCACATACTGTGCCGAATAGCTACACAAAAACAGTTTGCATTCAACAAAAGAACTCTTACCAACAAAAGAAACACAAATCAAACACTTTACCCCTTAGCAAAGTCAAACCGGAAATCCTGAAACCCTATGGTATTGCGCAACCAGCGAAGCCAACCGATTATATCTTGTCTAACAAAGTTTTGAGTATGATCAACATTTGGAAATCCATCGAAATTAACTCCAGTGCTTTGGTTCCCCTGTTAATATGAAAAATGATTTCTTTAATACTCTCAGAACGAAAACATTGTAAAAAAATTATCATTCATTACTACTAACCAGTCCTCCAGTACATGAAGTAACAGCGTGTTCATCCCACGGCAGTGGAATTCCATCATAGCGGTTGTACATTCCACCATGTCCTCTCGTTGTACCAACACGATGATTGATGACAATATCAGCCATAGATCTAACGTTGTACTGTCTCATCTTACTAAGCAAAGATGTTAACTGATGCTGGGAGCCATATGCTGAGTTTAGTGAATAAAGGTCCTGTGGAAGGTATCCTACAATCATATCACAGTAATAACCATTTTAAGTTAGTAAAATGACGTTGGATTATGATTTAGCACATAAATCCTCAAAATGTACAAAAAGCTCATTTGTCTCTCAAGTATTAATTTCCCACTAACCTTCTGGTTTATGAGACTGAGATGGTGGTGGTAGCCATGCAGAAGTGAAGCCTGATTCTGAGATGTCAGGAACTTTTCCATCCAAGTTATTGTACCAGTCATGTTTATGAGATTCCCAGTTAAATGCCTGAAATTAGAAATCCAGTTTCTTAAATAAGTAATGTTACTTAAAGAAGCGTGTTAATCTAAAAAAGAAGATGAAGGAGCTTACCTGGAGAATGACTTCCCTTCCATCGCGTATAACCCGACCTAATATAGATTGAGAAGCAAGCAAGAGACTTAATTAATGGTTGCATTCTTTATAACTAACTAAAAAACAAAAAACAAAAACTGAAACACTCATGAACTAAAGGCTCAATTCTATATTAAAAATTAAAATCCTTGGTGATTAAGGTTAGTGAACATACCGATATCAGTTTGGTCATTGCATCCATCAAAGGCCTGCAACAGTAACGTTAAACCAATGAGATATGGAGCAAGAATTTCCAAATCAAATGTTATATAATAGCAAGAAAGAAAAAAACAAAAGGGGCACTTACGGTGTTAGAGTAGGCCATGTCAAACAGTGATTGACGCAACAAATGGTTCAGGTTTAACAATTACCTACCATATCAGAGAGAGAGAGAAAGAGCAAACAGTGATTAATTTGTGAAGCAGCTAACAAAGAACCAAGTGCTTATAATGTCAAAACATATATAGAGTCAGGTTTCAAATATGTGAAGAGCAAGATTTGCAGGCATAAATGATTTTCATTACCCTAAATAAGAGTGCAACTTTCTGATCGTACAGAAAGCAAAGATTAGACTAACAAAAAAAGAAGATCAAATACCAGGTGAAGAATGCTTTGTCTTCTTGGGATGTTCTTCTACAAGGTCCCTTAACCAAACAAACAATACATACATAAATAGTCAAAGAGAGAACGTGAAGAGAATAAACAGAACAGCTAATGATCGCAAAACGAATCAGAATAAAATGTCAAAAACAATTGTTTTTGCCGCCTAGAAAATAGATATATAAGACTTTCTCTTAGGTTGACAATGTTTGCGTTGACTCATTGAGATTAAGAATGTATCTGCCTCTCCTTTCATGTGACACACCCCAGCCATGTAACACGACCAAAGACTATACACACCTGAATAAGATTTTGAAAGTTTCATACATTTGTTTATAGAGATCTATTTTTCTCTGTGTATCGTGTACTTGAGAGATTGGTAAAAATTAAAGTACACAAATATGGTGTTTCTTCACATTAAACGAACATAAAGTATAGTTCTACTAGTCTACTACCATCGACAAGATTTTGGTATGTGTGAAAGCAAAATTCAAGGCTTCATAGACTATTGTAAGACCATGTAGTACAGACCTCAAACCACAGAAGAAAACTGTCACACACACACATATATATACAGACAAGCTAGTTCACTCTTTCTTTTTACTCTTCTCCTCTGCTTCAGCCTCATCGTATATCCAAGAAGTTAACACCAGTGGGATCACAACGCAGATCGCTTCTACAGCGAGTCCACCAGCAAACCCGGAGTAATCATCAACCGTCACTTCCACAAACGACGCCAGAACAATCCCAAGATACCCGCTGACTATGAAGGCAAGTGCAATAGCTGACATAACAAACGCCATGAGAGACCCTTCACAGCCACGAGGACACAACCTTGTCATTAACACCGTGAAAGGCAGGTTCTTGAAATAAAACAAAGTCTCCAAGATTCCTGAAACGAAGAGCACATACACAGAGTCCGGTAGTCCCATGTCTCTGTACACTCCTTTCACAAACAAGAGATCAGATACCACAAAGACAGCCACAGTTCCCTGAATGGCTGCGATAAGTTTCCTCGGGGAAGTAGTTTTAAGCCAACGGTTGTAAGCAACACCCCATAGTAGCATTGCAACCTGACCAACAACCTTAGAGATACCTAACAGTGAAGCATCAATGTTCAAGATCTTCGTCTGGTAAAAGAACATAGTCCCTGTAAGAACAGGAACCAAAGCGGTTGATAAAGCCATCCACGCAATGGAGTAAGAGATCTCCGGCTTCTTCAACACACGTGAAAGGTCAGAGACATGGCTCCTGATCCCACCAGTAGGTGCTGGATTCTCCGGAAGATTCAAAGACTTTTCTCTGATATTTATAGTCACAAAGAATTGAAGAAGAGCTAAGAGACCAAACACTAGAAACGTTGACTGAGAAGAAAACGTATTGATAGCAATACCACCTAATAAGTTACCAAGGATTCCACCAAGAGAAGAAGCCATCCAAACAAAAGAAGGTAACTCAGAGTTCTTCTGCTTACCAGCCTCAGCAACAATAGCATCATTCGCTACTTCAACAACCGAAGCACCGAGATTACTAAGGAGAAGATACAATGATAAAGCTAATATTGACACATTCGATCTCGCCAAGAAAGCTATAGCGAGCCATGACACTGCTTGTAGCAAAGCTGCAAAGTAAACAACTTTCCATCAGTTTAATGAAATCTTAAACCACTTGAAACGATGCAATTTTTACCTCCAAAAGCGATGTAAGGGACACGATGCTGGCCAAAGAAGTAGACAGCGTCTGAAACGACACCGTATATTGGTTTAGCGACCATTGGGAGATTAGCAGAGTTCTGGAGAAGTTGCAAGACTGAAGGATTGACACGTAGCTCGTCTGTGAGGAAGAAATTGGCTCCAAGCCATGGGAAGCCTCTGAATCCTTGAACGAAGAAGCCGAAACCTAGTAGCCACTTGATGCGACGAGATCCTCCTCCGTCGCTGTTCATCTGGAGAGAAGGAATCAGTAGGGTGTTTTAGAGAGTTCTAAAAAGATTCAGACAGCGAAATGATCATTACCAGAGCGAAGACAAGTATGTCTTTTTAGGTTTTTTATTTAATTTTTGTTTGCCGTGTGTACGTGTCCTCTTTAGTTTCAAATCTGCTTCCAGCTGGAACTAAAAATCTAAAAAAAAAATCATAGGCCCAACAGGCCTAGTTAAAGGGTTTAAAATAAAAACGGCGTCGTAAGAAGCTTGGAATTGGTAATAATTTGGGCTTGGAGATGACGCCCATTTATAAAAGACAACTAAAGGCCCATTTCAAGATTTGCGACACGGCATCATAACAAGAAAACTGAAGGCCCAATTAAAGGGACCAAGACTAAACGTCGCCGTAGCGAGCTTCACCTCGGTCGTCGTCTAGGGTTTTGACTTTTGTGTTAAACTGGAGATACCACCACCGTAGTATCAGACGAAGTCTGCAACCAATGGAGGCGTTCAACGGCTTCTCGTCACCAAAGTTTTAGTCTTTCGATCCTGAAACCGTGAAATTTTCGTTCTTGATCGAGAATCAAGAACGAGCAGAAGCTCAAAATGTCAACAACCACCGTCACCGCCGGCGACGATGCAGACTCGTCTTTTAACGAAGACAAGCCGAGAAAAATCGCCATCATCTTCGCGTTTTGCGGTGTAGGATACCAAGGGATGCAAAGAAACCCCGGCGCGAAGACCATCGAAGGCGAGCTCGAAGAAGCTCTGTTTCACGCCGGAGCCGTAACAGAGACCGATCGTGGGAAACCGAAGCAATACGAGTTCACACGATGCGCACGGACTGATAAAGGAGTCAGCGCCGTGGGACAAGTAGTCTCGGGACGATTCCACGTTGACCCACCTGGTTTTATCGATCGGCTTAATGCGAATCTTCCTGATCAGATAAGGGTTTTTGGTTACAAGCGTGTTACCGAGAAGTTTAGCTCCAAGAAGGCATGTGATCGGAGGAGATATGTGTATTTGCTTCCCGTGTTTGCGCTTGATTCGTTGAGGCATCGTGATAGAGAAGCGGTGATGGCTAGTTTGGGTTCTGGTGAGGAGTATGTGAAGTGTTTCGAGTGTTCTGAGAGAGGTCGTAAGAATAAGATCACTGGTGTTGTGGGTAAGCTCAAAGTGGATGTTCAGTCAGACATTTTGTCGAACAACTTATGTGCATTAACAACTGATGTAAAGAGTGAAGCTTTGAATGAGAGAAAGAACAAGTTTTGTTATGGGGAGGAGGAGAAGGAGAGGTTTAATAGGATACTTAGTTATTATGTTGGGTCGTTTAATTTTCATAATTTCACTACTAGGATGAAAGCAGATGATCCTGCTGCGAATCGTTCTATAATCTCTTTCACTGCAGACACTGTTATTAGTCTTGATGGGGTTGACTTTATCAAGTGTGAAGTCTTGGGACAAAGCTTTATGCTTCATCAGATTAGGAAGATGATGGGTCTTGCTGTTGCTATCATGAGGAACTGTGCTGCTGAATCACTTATCCAGACAGCTTTCAGCAAGTTAGTTTCTTTTAATGGTTTTAAGCTTTTAGTGTGTGTAATTATGTTGGTGTTGATTCTCATTTTTTTTTTTTTTTGTTACTAGAGATGTGAATATAACTGTACCAATGGCGCCAGAAGTAGGACTATACTTGGATGAATGTTTCTTCACGTCTTATAACAACACACAATTTGAAGATAGTAATGAGAAAGTGTCGATGGAAGCATACAAGGAAGAAGCTGAAGCATTTAAGTTGAAGCATATATATTCCCATATAGGCTCTGCTGAGCGAAGATATGGATCTGTGGCTCTTTGGTTGCATTCCTTGAACTATAGAAACTATCCTGACCTGAACTATGGCAAAAATTGTCACAAAACTGAGCAAGAAACAACAGAGCCAGAGCCATAACTGTAGCCTAACTAATCTCAGTGCTAGTTTGAAGAGTCAACATTGTTTGTGTGTTTTGAGTATTTTTCTACATCTTTGGTGTAACGATTCTTGTAACTTTTAAAAATGTTTTTTCACAAATGCTAATGGATTTGATTTAGTTTCTTCCTCAATGTCATCATCAGATAAAGATTTAATTTTAATACATAGGAGAGGAGAATTTTATTTGAACAAATGTTTAAAGAACAAAGATTGAGAGGAAGAAACGTGGAAACGAATCTACAGGCAGAGACGTGACGTTACATATGAGCAGAACAATAAAATCCCCTTAACGCACGTCAGCGTCTCTCTCCGAACCATAAGGCACATAAACTTTTTTTTTACCATTTTATATTTTTAGTTATAATAACTAAATTGTTATTTAGGGTAAATAAAATGTCAGACTTCGTTTGAACCGATGAGTTTTAGGGTGTGACTCCTATCTTCGTCTGCACTAATAAGTACTCCTACTTTATAACTTTCGCTTACCAATGCATGTCAATACTCAACAGTGACAAATTTTCATTTTTCAGAGGTTTTAAATTCCAAAAAAGTACATACTCCCGTTTCAACATATAAAATATTTTCACATTTCTAAAACTACATAACCAAACTGCTTTTATTTACAGTTATTTAGATTTTTCTTTTTAATTTTAATAGGACTTTTAATTTTTTTTTTCTAAGATGTATTTTTAGCTGAAACATTATATTTTTGTTTGTAACACAGCTGAAACATTATATATATTGAAATAAAGAGTATATAAGATCTTGTGAGTTATCAATGCTTCACCTAGAAATTGTTTGTACTTTGTAGGGTATTATAAAGTAGAGAAATTTACATTGTGAGTCACTTTTCATCTTTCTAATAACACAATAAGTCACTTCTTTCTACACACACACTTTTTCTTAACTTTTTCATTTTTCGTTTAGTTTTTCTAGTTAAAACAAAACTATACAGAAACTAGTAGGGTCCACTAACATCTCTCTCTTATCTTGTTCATTCTCAACTCTTTTTTTTTTAATTTTTTTTTTATTGATTGGCTTATACAGACTTTTATTTCAAGAAATTGCTTTCAAGTTTTCATCGTTTCTCTTTTTCAGTTCTTTTTCAATAGATCGATCTGAGGTCTCGCCGTTGGACAGCGTCATCAATAATAATGTGGCACTCAGCCGTGGGATTTGGAACAAAACGTTCAACAAATCAGAAACAAAATAAAAATTTTGTTCAAATTTTAATTTCCAACCCATGAATTAGGACTGAAATCTATTAGATCTGGACAAAATATATCAAAAAAGCAAGTGGAGAATGTAAAAATCATGAAAAATAGGCGAGAGAGGCGGTGACTAGGGTTTCTGGTCGACAATGGTCAAGGAAGAAGACAAGGTTATTTTCGTAATTTTTCATCATCAATGAATGTGTACAACAAAATCGAACACATCCATGTGTACACCCTATCTCGTGTACAACTATACATATGTCACTGCTTCCTTATCGTACACAAAGAAAATCATATTTCAAACACGCTTAGTACATTAAGTTCATATGATGTCCATTGCTTGTATAGCCATGTACATCAAAATTTACATATATGTGACATTTTGAATGTGTTAGTGTACACCTGTGATATTTGGTCCGCCATAACTCTTCTCAACTATCACATTTATTCCATATCATGTGTTAGTACACACATTTGTTTTTACGTAAGAAACTTGGGTTTATCCATGATAACAATATGTACATATCTTCCATGACGGAACAATCAACTACTTGTACATGATGAGATTGATGTACATATGGACATCAAAAAAGGTGTACACACCAACTAGTAAACACACACTACACTGCATCCTGCATCGCTACTTCCAAGAGGTATAATTCAACACAATATTTACATTTCAAAACATTCAATTACATTTCTGTACACACCATCAATTGCACAATATAATATAATAGTGTACATATATATCATTGTCCATGTGTACTGGCAGTAGCATGAAAGTGTACATGCTTTTTTGTTTATTTTTCAATTTTTTTAATGAATGGCATTTTGGTAAATATGTCATCGTCTTCTCCAAATTTTTAGGGTTTTCTGCAACCATTTTTACGGCCGTCATTTATTTTCTTTCACATAATCTTTTATTATTCCATGTTTAATCGTGATTACACTACAAGATCATAACTTTATCATTTATATTTTGATTTTTAACTTCAGATTTCAAAATAAGTTTTTTNTTAATGAATGGCATTTTGGTAAATATGTCATCGTCTTCTCCAAATTTTTAGGGTTTTCTGCAACCATTTTTACGGCCGTCATTTATTTTCTTTCACATAATCTTTTATTATTCCATGTTTAATCGTGATTACACTACAAGATCATAACTTTATCATTTATATTTTGATTTTTAACTTCAGATTTCAAAATAAGTTTTTTGTGATATTTGGCCATTGTTGTTCAAGCTTCATTGAGCAGCTAAAACAACGGCCACTATGGCATATTTCATGTATCACAACCACCATAAGCTATTTGTGATGTGACAAGGGAGATGAATTGTAGAGTATGACGTGAAGGAGGAATCTGTTTGTGTTGATTTCATGGTAGAGGAGAAGTACTACGACAGTTTCGTGATCAAACTCAGCTCGAGATCAACTGAGGTTCACCCACAGTTAGAAACTCTTATCCACCATTTTTTGTAAAGATAGTCTCAAACTCAATTAGAAATAAAAATTGGTGAAGAAAATAAAATGAAGAAGAAGATGAAATAAATGAGTAGGTCCTACTAATATAATTTAGTTACGTTTTGGTTAGAAATGAAATGAAAAAGTTAAAGAAAGTGTCTAAGTAGTAACATGTGACTCATAGTGTAACACAAACTCAAAATGTGACTTAGAATGTTATTCTCTCTATAAAGTATCATGTGTATAAAAGTGCATAGATTCTATTTTTACATTCTTAGATATCGAGTATATCAATTTAAATGAAATTTCCCATGATTTTTATACAGCACGTATTTATATTTTTGAATGTTAGAGCATCTTTATCGGAGTCTCTTCACTCTGTCTCTTACTGTAAAACTGAATTAAAATAAATCAAAAACATGTAATAAGTGAAGCAACGTGTCTTAAATGGGAACAATAAGAGGCTGTCTCTTAAAGCCACGTGTCGAGATTTAGCGTTTCTTTCTTCCTCTTTGACCATCTTCCTCTTCTTCTTCTTTGATCATCTTCCTCTTGATTTCTACCCAAGTAAAGGTTGAAACTTTCTGTGAGGAAAAGAGAAGAAAGTAGTTAAAGAAGACTGGTCATCCCACTTAACAATCTCAAAGTCGAGATTTAAAGATCAATGTGTTGTGGGTTTTGATTTTTGCAGATTAGTTTACATGGAGGATAAGTGATTTCATGGAGGAATGACCAAGGCGAAGAGCTCCTTTTCACTAGCAACAAGGTATGTTGTAATTGTAGACCCAAAACCCACAAAGAAAGAACGCATAAAGATCTGATTTTTAACTATGTGAATTGTTTAGGCTATCTTCAAACGGATCGTGGAGAAGTTCAAGATGGCGTGTGAGTCAGAGCGATTCCGAAAAGAGACTACATTTCGTCGAAGGGATTTTAGAGGAGCAGAAGAAGACATGTCAAAGGAAGGAGCGAGGATTATTTCTCTTTACGGAAAAGCCGGTTTGGTTGTAAACGCACAGAAGGTATTAGAGAAAAACTGCAAGAGGTCAGTGCTGTCCTTCAATGCATTGCTTAGTGTGTATGGAGTTTCCAAGAGATTCGATGTGGTTGAGCAGCTTTTCAGCGACTTACCGGACATGCTATCAATCAAACCAGATATTGTGTCTTACAATACTTTGATAAAGGCATTGTGTGAGAAGGGTTCTTTGTCTGAAGACGTTGCATTGTTTGGTGAGATTGAGAACAAGGGTCTGAAACCGATATAATCACATTCAAGACGCTTTTGTTATCGTCGTATCTGAAGGGAGACTTCGAGCAAGGGGAAGAGATATGGGCTAAATTGTGGAGAAGAATGTAGGTAAAGACATCATGAGTTACAATGCTCGGTTGTATGGATTAGCCAACGAGACAAAATGGGAAGATATAGTAAGTCTCTTTTTGAAGAACTGAAGGCTAGTAGGATCAAACCTGATTTTTGCAGCTTCAGTGCGATGATAAGAGGGTCAATCAACAAAGGGAAAGAGAGGAGAAGCTGAGGAGATAGCAAAGAACAATGAGATCTTGAAGTTCAAGTTTTTTTTTTTTTTTAAGAACTCCTACTTAAAACTTGCAATGGAGGACCAAATTTGAGATGTTTCTTAACTAAAGCTTTTAACACACATTTATATTAAACAAGTGATTAAGAGATCCTATTGTGTCTCTAGGGATAATGGTGCTCTTAGAAGTGTAAGTATTTAATAAAACTTGTTCAAAAATCTAATTTACTAGGCAGTAAGGGAAAAATGAAAGCAGGTGTATACTTTCATGTTATTAAGACGCGAGTGTTTTGAACTTTTCTTGAATTATTGATTACGTTGGAAAGGAAAGATGTGACTAAATACGACTGCTCGTAAGCTTAACTTCTAAAGTAGTTGGGGTGTAGTAATATCAATATTAATAATATCCTGTGAAAAAAGTAATTAATACACATAAGCCGTAGCATCAGACAAATCATCATTCAAAACGCCTCGAAAATAAGAACAAAAAGTTTGAAAGCAAATAAGAATACAAAGTATATAGAATTTTAATTTCCCTTATAACTTTTGTGGTATATATTAAAACACACATAAAATAAAGAAAATGACAAATCCTCACGTCCGTTACTTTTTAATCCTCAGCTAGCAAAATTTTAATTTCTATTCTTTTTGATTTAATCACAAATCTTATCTTGAATTGTTATCTTTCTCTTCTTTCCTTAAACCAAAACCAAATAAGAGAGACCAGACAATTATAAAAAAAAAACTGTATTCTCCTCTTCTCTCTCAAACCATGTCTTCCGGAAATGAATCAACCCCGTCTCAGGCGACGATAGAAACGACGGCAACGTCTCCGGTGAAGGTTAAAGAGTACCCTGAACCTTTGGCTTCACATGAAGATATTGTGAAAGATCTTTCTCTCTTCTGGGATTCTCTCAGGCGTTTTCACTCCATACTAGCCACCAAATTCATGTAACCATTATTATTCTCACTTTATGGTTCTTTTTATCACCAACTTTTTATTTATTTTATATACTTTTTTTTTACTCCAGGATTCCTGTGATTGGTGGAAAAGAACTGGATTTGCATGTTTTGTATGTGGAAGTCACGAGGAGGGGAGGATACGAAAAGGTCAACCACTTTATTTATGTGTTGATTCTTTTTCAATACAACTACTCGTAGTTTATTCTCAAAATCTTAAATGTTGTGTTTTGAAAATGCATGTGAATTATAAAAGGTAGTGACAGAGAAAAAATGGAGGGAAGTTGGAGGAGTGTTTAGATTCTCTGCAACTACAACAAGTGCTTCTTTTGTCTTAAGGAAACATTATCTCAACCTTCTCTTCCATTACGAACAAGTTCATCTCTTCAATGCTCGTGGTCCTCTTCTCCATCCAACAGGTTTTTATTTTTATCTTATTCCATATTTACTTCGAGTAATATTAGATAAAATAATTACCAATGAATCATAAGGTGCTATTTTAATGCCCGAAGACTATAATCTGCAATGTTTGATAGTTTGATAGTTTTGAAATAAATAAAAAATAAATCTCGAAATGCTTAGTCATGGCCTCATGGGTTAAATCGTGGGACACTTTTTTTACGACATACGTGGGGAGACCACGATTGGTTACAGTTTTACTTTGTTATTTTATTATCTCTATGGTTAGTGTAATTATCTTGAAACTATGAACTATTTAGCAACGATTATTTTTTATGTTACATTTGTCTGAAACAAGAACTTGTGTTATATACGTCTGGTCTTTTATCTCAGCTACATTTCATGCTAAGGATCCTTCAACGAGCAAAGAGATGGCTCTCGTTGAATACACTCCTCCAGGCATAGGATATACTAGTTCTCACCCTCCTCCTTGCCAAGGTTCGTTACATTTATTCTTATTATTTATTAAGAAGTTTAATCAATGATTATATAGTAGCTTAACTTATATTTAGGGGCATTAGGATGATGATTGTCTTGTTAGTGTTAGCTTTACGTACTTGTCGTAAAATGTTTATGTTTATCTCAATACTTTTCAAATATAGCCTATAGTTCACGATGGTCCCACTGACATTATGTTTGATGCAAATTTATTTGGATTTTGTTGGATAATAAACCGACTACGTGGACCAAACCGGATGCAGCTATAAGATAATGTATTTATTTAAATTAGATTATGAATACATGTGACATATGAATACATGGCACAGGTTCGTCGAGTTTCACAGCCATAGGTACAATTGAAGGCAAATTCGACTGCGGTTATCTGGTTAAAGTCAAGTTGGGCTCGGAAATTCTTAATGGTGTGCTTTATCACTCAGCCCAGCCCGGCCCATCATCACCAGTTGCTGATCCAAACGCTTCTGTTATTCCGTTTGTGGAAACTGGGAGGAGACGACGTCGTTCTGGTAAAAGACGTAGAAGCAGACGCAGAGAGGACCCGAATTATCCTAAACCGAACCGGAGCGGTTATAATTTCTTCTTTGCTGAGAAACATTGCAAGCTAAAGTCTCTGTATCCAAACAAGGAGAGGGAGTTTACGAAGATCATCGGCGAGTCATGGAGCAATCTCTCAGCCGAAGAACGATTGGTAACAAGATAACTGATTAACCGGTTTAATATGAATGTTTATTTGTACTAAACCGGTATATTAACCGGAATTTCGGTTTATTTATTAGGTTTATCAGAAGATTGGTTTGGAGGACAAAGAGAGGTATCAGAGGGAGTTGAACGAGTACAGAGAAAAGTTAAGGCTCAGTGCTGCTGACGAGGCAAGCGGCAGGGTTTTCTAGGTGGTTTTCTTATAACGGTTGAGTTAATTCTCTTGTACGTCGTTTATCTCTTGTATAACCGAACGTTCTGCCGTTTTCTAACTTTTCTTTATTGTAGTTGTTCATGTCAAACTAAGCCCATTGAGGCCCATTGTGTAAGCTACTAAATAGGCTTGACAAGATTAGCTGCCCGTTTGGGAATTGATATTTTATTAGGCTCATTCTGTAGAAAGCTCTTACGATATTTTTTATTTATTTTTAACTTATCTATAATATTTCATCAGCTGAAATCAAAATCCAAACTCTCACCAACACAGCAGAAAAGAGTATATACTCCAGTGAAACTGAAAGGTGTGAAGGAATTAAAATAGGACATATATAGTCTATAAGAGCACCATTAATCCTAAGAGTTAGTTTGGGTTCTTAATTTTTTATTTCTGATTTAAATAAATTTTTAAAATAACTGATTACGTACCGTTATGTGTTATTAGGATCCGCAAATAGTTTACTCTTGCATAAGGAGAAGAAGGATGGATTTTAAAAAATCAGATTGGTTTCAAGTTCAAAAATATTATTCTTTATGTTTGAGTACTTGATACCCTGCTCTTTAATTAATAACTTATTTTGTTTTTGTTTGCATATATATTATATTGTCTATCTTACAACATCCAAATTACTATTTGATTTAATATTTCTTTTTGGATTCATGAAATATATTCATTGCGATCTTGTTTTAAACAATTTCAAATAATCTAACTTGATCTAAATTATTTGAATCTGAGCTACAAATTTTTAAATTCGATCTAAATTGTAAAAATACACAAACATGTTCTATATCCATATTTCTTAATATTCGAAAATTTGAAGTATCTAAACATGAATTCGAACGGGTATCTGAATATTGAGCCCTAATATTTCATGAAAAAATTCTTAACTAATAATAAATTATTAATAATAATAATATAGTCAGAAAAATAAAGAATCATTTGAAATGTTTCTACACAAATGATAAAATTTGAGATACTTATATATTATTTTATTTACATATATTATAATATTATTGTTTAACCTTTATGATATATCATTGGAAATACTACTCCACTTAGCCCAAAGATTTCAAATTAGATTTGTCTAGCTACAAATGAGAACTTGGAATGTTCAAAGTCTCCCAAGCTTGTCTACTTATGAATGTCAAACAAAACTATCAACACTGCCATGTCACCTCTCAAAACATCTAAAACAGCCAATCACAGCAATTCCATGCAGATAACTCTCTCTCACTATCATTTTTCCTCACCACATAAAATTTCACAAAACCTTTTTTTGGCTCACAATCTATTTTTGGAGAAACTTCAAAGTTCATCTATAAATCTGATAAGGTCGTAAATTTCGTTTTAGTTCATTATAGTACTATCCACATAAACTAAGCAAAACATCAATTAAAAAAACATATCAAAATGGCATCAGTTACATCAGCTACGGTCGCATTCCCATGTTTCACCGGCCTCAAGCTCGCCGTCAACTCCAAACCCACGACGGTCTCCACCACCGCCATCAAATCTCCATCCAAAGCGGTGCCTAAGCTCTCAGTTAAGTCCTCTCTCAAAGATTTCGGCGTCATGGCCGTTGCAGCTGCAGCTTCCATCGCTTTGGCCGGGAACGCAATGGCTATTGAGATTCTCTTAGGTTCTGACGATGGTGGTCTTGTTTTCGTACCAAGCAACTTCACGGTGGCTAAAGGAGAGAAGATCGTGTTCAAGAACAACGCAGGGTACCCACACAACGTGGTGTTCGACGAAGACGAGATCCCTAGTGGCGTTGACGCGAGCAAGATCTCTATGGACGAGCAAGAGCTTCTCAATGGGCCGGGAGAGACGTACGAAGTCACGTTGACCGAACCTGGCTCTTACGGTTTCTATTGTGTTCCTCACCAGGGTGCTGGTATGGTCGGAAAGCTCACCGTCAACTAAATATGTCGGCAGAGAGATAGACTCGTCCTACTCGGTTGAATTCATAAATAATTTGTAATATGGAAGAGTGAGTTGAATTATAAAACAGGATTATATAATGTTTACTTACTCGTTTAATGGTAACGGCATTGTTCTTTGTTACTACCATTAATTTAGATCATTTGTGTGTGTCACGTGAAAATACTTTTCCTTTGAAATAAAGGTTGTTCTATATATGTCTCTCTAGTTGTGTATCTTTACCACATTAAACAAAATGGCCTATGTACGAGTCTTTTAGAGGTTCAACGCGGCGTATGTACGATATTGGGCCTTTTTTTTTTGAACAATACGAAATTGGGCCTTAAACAAAAACAATTCAGGTCTCGGATGGGTGCATATATTTTTAGCTTATGTGATACGTACCCCCATTTTATAAACTTCTACCATTTTAGTAATTGGTGACCAACAAAATTTAAATTCATTAATTTCATGTTTAGAAACTTATTTATTCTTGAATCCGTAAATTTGCGTTTTTTTGCATACAAAGAGATCAGGCAACCACTTGATATGTGGGTTTTATGTATGTCCTTCCTTCTTAGAAGAATATCGTTAATATTAAAAAAAGGTAAATTCCTGTATGCATGATGATGGTACTTGCACTCAAAAAAATTATGATTGGTATTCAGCGGATGTGAACCGAATAAATTAATATCCGATTCATAGTGTAATACAAGCACTCCTGTTACCTGTAATAATATGGCGCGGTTAAAGATGCAGAGAAAATATGTAACAACCATAACTTGATTTTGTTGGTCTGGACTCTGACTCCTTCGATCTCAATAGTATCGGTTCGGGTTTAGATCCCACCTAAGTCACTGGCCCATTGAATGTAATCGCTGAGGAACTAATGGTTAGCCCATGGAATGATGGAAACGAACTGGTTACCAACTAATACATTCAGATTTTATTTGACTAGTAGAGAAAATTAATATTGTTTATACGAGTTGAAATACATACAATTTCATAAAAGTCTTTAAGATCCCTAAACTCAGCCTCTCTTCGAACACATATGGCCCATAACTTCTACTTTTTTTACCATTGTCTTTTTAAGAAAAACAATTTGTTATTTAGGATAAATAAAATTATAAAATGTCTTCGCTTGTGCTGATGAGTTTTAGGGTGCGACTCCTATCTTCGTCTGTGCTAACTTTATATAACTTTCGTTTACCAGTGCATGTCAATGTCAACACTCAACGATGACCTTTTTCAGAGTTTTTGAATACCAAAAAAGCTTAATACTTAGAAAAGTATTCATTGTTTAAAATATAAAATGTATTCGTATGTTTATATATACTTCAACTTTATTGAAAACTATGTACCCAATTATATTCACTAGTTTTATTTAAAAAATAGTTTACATATACACTTTAATTTTATTTAATACTATATTTTTAATTTTATATATCCTTTGAACAACAATATGAAATCAAATTTATACACAACCACCAAGTATAAAATATAATTTCATTATAACTTTGGTGGTATGTTTAAACTTAAAACACACCAAAAATTTGACAAATTCGCACGTCCAAAAGAAAATGCATCATAATGGTCTACAGCTGGATTAAATCGAGTAGAATATCAGATTCATAATGGTCTCTACAGCTGGAGATCTATGTCGTATTATGCTTCATACGAACCAATTGTCCTCATTAGTCACTACTACATTAAATATGTCGTGTGCGCAAAACATCACGTGATCGATGTAAAAAAAGAACAAGCTGCAACATGGTGCGGTTAAAGATTCGACAGACACATGATCATATGAGTCATGTGATATGGCCGATCTACCAATAATAATAGTTTAATTAAAACAATAATTAGATAGTCTCCAAGCCTCCAAGGACCAGCTACTTGATAATCTGTCTTCAGCTCACGGATCCGGACATGGACCAGGTATACCGATTGAGTTTTATCATTATACTACTGCTTAAATAAACTCATCGGGTTGTACGGACAGCGTGGGAAACAGTATATAATGACAACAACAAAAACTACAAGACTTTTCTGTAGAAAAAGATTAAGGAGCTGGCCTGACCCTACAACGTGCAGTGAAATGCTTGTACGATTAGGAAGATAACAGACATATACATGTGTAGTCAAGATCACTAAACTAAAAAAAGAGATCGAGCTTCCGAGTTCAACATGTAGTTGCAACTTCATGATGATCATTAAGCTAAGCAGATTAAAGAAAGTAAAACTTCTTGTGCACTACCGACGCATGAACTGGACAATGGAAACATAACGAAAAAAAAAAAAAAAAAATTTGATGTTGTATGACTTGACACCAATCATAAAGTGGTTGAATTGTATGAAATATATGACTAAATTTTATGCATAATTGCGTTAGTTACTTATTATCATAGATGAGGAGTAGCATATGAAATTATTATTTCAAACGAGTATTTATCGACAGCTTTCTTTGGACCCGGGATGAGTAGAGCCCCAAGGTACCACGCCACCATAATCTAAAAACAGAATATATAGCAAGAAAAGTTTTTTTTCTTCCAAAAGTCCAATAAATAAACAAAATTTTGTCCTACAACAATAAAAAATTATATGGAAGATTTTAAGAAATTATATTTTAAAAAAATTTAAGCTAAAAATGTAAAATGAGGAGATTGAAAGGATTTATTTATTTCAGAACTCATAAAAGATAATGAGAAATTATGGCATTTAATCAATCATATTATACAAAAAGATAAACATTTATACAAAATTGGTTAAAAAAACTCATTTTAAAATATAATACCAGTGGAAATGTTTTGAGAATTCATTCATTTTACTATATTCTCTTGATCATTCACATACAGTCCGTAGATGGCCCAGAATCTTTTATTTTCCATAGCCTATGGGCCAAAACAAATTCGTTAATACTTTGTACTTAATACATTAAAGTGAGTTATTTATTAAAAAGATTCCTTCCATACATCTTTGCATATAAAAACCAATAAACCAGTCACAATTAAAAGAGTCCTAAAACATCTCTCTCTCTAGCAAAGATGGATTCGGTAACGCTCTACTGCACCGCCGCTCTAGTCGCCGGCGGTCTCTACTGGTTCGTCTGCGTCTTAGGCCCCGCAGAACGAAAAGGCAAACGAGCCTTAGATCTCTCCGGCGGCTCCATCTCCGCCGAGAACGTCAAAGACAACTACAACGAATACTGGTCTTTCTTCCGCAAACCAAAAGAGATCGAAACCGCCGAGAAAGTCCCCGACTTCGTCGACACGTTCTACAACCTCGTCACCGACATCTACGAGTGGGGATGGGGACAGTCTTTCCACTTCTCCCCTTCCCTCCCAGGCAAATCCGACAAGGACGCGACAAGGATCCACGAAGAGATGGCAGTGGATCTCATCAAAGTCAAACCAGGACAAAAGATCCTCGACGCAGGCTGCGGCGTAGGTGGGCCTATGAGAGCCATCGCGGCCCATTCAAAGGCCCATGTAACGGGAATCACCATCAACGACTACCAAGTCAAACGAGCCAAGCTCCACAACAAGAAAGCGGGTCTAGACTCTCTATGCGACGTCGTTTGCGGTAACTTTTTACAGATGCCGTTCGATGACAACACTTTCGACGGCGCTTACTCGATCGAAGCCACGTGTCACGCTCCCAAGCTGGAGGAAGTGTACGCGGAGATCTACAGAGTGATGAAGCCTGGAACTTTGTACGTCTCTTACGAGTGGGTCACGACGGATAAGTACAACGACGACGATGAGGAGCACAAGGAGGTGATTCAAGGGATCGAGAGAGGAGATGCGCTTCCTGGTCTGAGACACTATTCAGACATAGCTGTTACGGCGAAGAAAGTTGGGTTTGAGGTTGTGCAAGAGAAGGATTTGGCTAAACCACCGGCGAAACCGTGGTGGGACAGGCTTAAGATGGGTCGGATTGCGTATTGGAGAAACCATATTGTGGTTGTGGTTCTGTCTGCTATTGGGATTGCTCCGAAAGGAACTGTTGATGTTCATGAGATGTTGTTTAAGACTGCTGATTACTTGTCTAGAGGTGGTGAGACTGGTATCTTCTCTCCGATGCATATGATTCTTTGTAGAAAACCAGAGAAAGTTTCTTCCGAATGATGGGAAAAAAAAAATCTTTGTTTTTTTTTATTTTTTGTTTTGCCCTTTAAGAATCTTGTTTTTTTTTTTTTTCATTTGGTAATTCGTATTAATATCACTTTGTTGTTCAGTGTATTTTTAAATTTTTACTTCTATTCAATTTGATTGGTTTAACAACTGATGAATGTGATGAGTTTTGTAAGATCAAAACACAAAATAGACGGTTGATGTGCCGTAGATTGCGCCGGCGTTTATGAGATTAGCACGTGTAGTGTTTACTCTTCAAATTAGGGGTAGTTTAGTAACTAAGGATGTTATTATGTGTCCACGTTGGGTTTAGACAGTAGTGCTAACTGGTAAGTGCGTGGTCGTGGGCTGTTTACTCCTTATCTTAGGGGTAGTTTAGTAACTAAGGATGTTATTAGGTGTCCACGTTGGGTTTAGACAGTAGTGCTAACTGGTAAGTGCGTGGTCGTGGGCTGTTTACTCCTTACCTTAGGGGTAGTTTAGTAACTAAGAATGTTATTAGGTGTCCACGTTGGGTTTAGACAGTAGTGGTGACTGGTAAGTGCGTGGTCGTGGGCCGTCCGATATAGTTATTTTATTGTCAACCGTCTGATGATGTTATGTTAATGTTTGTCGCATTACGGTAGTGGGTCGCACGGACTACGACTTTTTTGCCTTAGAGAACGATGGTTTATTTTAAAAAGTTTCAGTCCATTACAATAAGTTTTTGAGTGATTAATTGACTAATAGAGTTTCATTTGTCCACGTCTAGGCAACTTATTCTATAGATTTTATGCGGTAATAACCGGAGTTTGGGTCGAAACTATAATGGGCTTAATGATAAGATGGGCTAAAGGCCCTATACTTTATTGGCTTGCCTCATTCCATTTGTACGGACGAGGATTATGTGTACTGTTATTTTATCGGAGCGAGATGTCGATAATATAAAACGCTTACATGGGTTTGTCAATGGAGCTTTGGATCTGAGCTGAGAACTGAGAAGTAGTCTTAAAATTTTGACAGCTGATAAGTTTTTGTGAACGGAATCAGCCGGTTAGATTAGTCTTGCTTGGCGGCAGAAGGAAATTTCAAAATATTTGTGTTGTTTCTTGTTTGTGTTCATATAAATATTTTGGCCTCATAGAGAAAATTATTGCAAATAAATATTTGTCTTTATGCAACGACGTATACGAAATCAGAAATCTTACAAAAATCACATATTCGTTTAGACTAGTCCATAGAAAAAAAATCTAATCGAGAGCAAACACAAGCCACACAACTAAAATAAGTGGACATGAATTATTGAGCCCTTTAAAAAAACATAACAATCTATCCACATTATACCATTCACCAATCTCTAACCAATAGTCACACACACACACACACTCACAATGGCCACCGTTGCTAACTTCTCAGCTAAACCAATCACCACCGTGATTCCACGGCCATCATCCGCCGTTGCCTCCACCTCCTCCTTCCTATTCTTCGACCCCAAACCCAACTCACTGATCCTAAACCAGAGCTGGGTAAAAATTCCCTCGAGAAGAAGATTCTCAGCCGTGAAGGTCAAGGCCGCCGGTGCGGCGCCACCGGGGAAGGTGGGTACACCGGTGGTGAAGGACGAGAAAGTGCAAAAGATTCACAGCGGAGAGGAGTTCGACGAAGCGCTTAAGAAGGCGAAGAACAAGCTGGTGGTTGTGGAGTTTGCCACGAGTAAGAGTGATCAGAGTAATAAGATTTATCCGTTTATGGTGGAGCTGAGCAGGACATGTAACGACGTGGATTTCTTGCTTGTCATGGGGGATGAGTCTGAGAAGACCAGAGAGCTTTGTCGGAGAGAGAAGATCGAGAAGGTTCCTCACTTTAGCTTTTATAAGAGCATGGAGAAAATACACGAGGAAGAAGGTTAACTCTAATTACCCCTAATTACTTAATACTAATTAGAAACTTAATATTAACTAAAACAAATATATAAGCAGGATTAGCTGAAAAAGTATATAAAAGAATTAGACAAAATCTCTCAATCTAAAGGAAGAAAGTACACAACATGTTACATAACACTTTAGTAGTTTAAGTTAGTAGTATCAATTACTATAGTGGCAAACATGTAAATAATTGTTTGGCAGGTATTGGACCGGACCAGCTAATGGGAGACGTGCTATACTACGGGGACAGCCACTCAGCAGTTGTGCAGCTGCACGGCCGAGCTGACGTGGAGAAGCTGATAGATGAGAACCGTACCGGAGGCAAGTTGATTGTGCTCGACGTTGGTCTAAAACACTGTGGACCATGCGTGAAGGTTTATCCGACAGTGCTTAAGCTGTCCCGTTCGATGTCCGAGACCGTAGTGTTCGCTAGAATGAACGGCGACGAGAATGATAGTTGTATGGAGTTTCTAAAGGACATGAATGTTATCGAAGTACCAACATTCTTGTTCATTAGAGACGGAGATATTTGTGGCCGGTACGTTGGTTCCGGTAAAGGAGAACTCATTGGAGAGATTCTCCGGTACTCAGGCGTTCGTGTCACTTATTAATTTGTATCAAAAACTCGATTTATTAAAAACAAAATCATATTCTTGGTTTTGTTTGTACCATCCAAGACCGGTTAAATACTCAAAATGTGTGATTCTTGGTTTAATTTTGCTACGCGTTTTCTTACTTTCAAGGCACGGAATCTCTAGTACTATAAAAAAATGAATAAATAGTGATTTGTACCTAACCGATGAAGATATTATATTTTTTTCGGTACAAACTAAACTTGCATTGAAATTAAAAGAGTTTAATCATATACTTCTTTTGTTTAATACTAAGTGTTAGAAAAAATAATTCATTACACACTATTATTCTTTTTTAGTTTTCAATGTAAAATTTATTAATTTAATTCTATAATTTATCTTTCTACTGGGTGAAATATAGCTAGATATACATTTAATTTATGTGATTTATATAGAAATTATACAAATTTAATTATCTTTTAATTTGTATGCACAAACATAAAAGGACATTTAGAGTAAAATAGATGAATTATAAAAACAATTAAAAATCAATTTGTATGTTATTCCAACGCATATGTGATGATATTAATGGCTGATTGTGAATTGCATTTAATTTATGGACAATTAGGTGGTGGGAAGACAACGGTTGTTGTCACACATTGTCACCAAGGAAACAAAAACAAAATAATGTGCAACTGTAATTGCAAGAATGTATGTGTGGTGACAGAGATATTTTATTTGTGGCATATATCAAAATCGAACCAAAACATATATTCACAAAGAGTAACTAACGAAGGAAAATGATGATCTATGCACATAATAACAAAATCCAGATTCACTGTGTATGATGATTATTGATGGAGAGGCGGAAGCTTGATAACAAGATGACTCGACAAGAACGCGGGAACTTGTAGAATCGATAGGGTTCTAATCGATGTTGATACTCTCAACTTCGATTAAGACGAGTTCTTTGACGTTTGTAATATCTTTAACAAGGTCAAAGGGGCTAGAGTACTCCTCTAAGTGCTGTAAAGCTCTGTATAAAATTATAATCAAATCAAAGGTGTCTAATTACAAGAACGTGATCTTCTTTTTATAAGAGAAAGAAGATCCTAGTTTCAAAAGTAAAAGGGAAAATATAAGAAAACCTAAACTAAAAGGGAAAACATATTATGGTGTCGTGTGTTGAGGATGTTACGCTACATCAGGTCCCCCCGGGTTGGAAGGATTCGCCCTCGAATCTGGCGGGAGATTATCACCATAGAAATGAGATAAATGCTTCACATTGAAAACATCCGATGTCTTTAAATGACTAGGAAGTCGAACCCGATAGGCGTTAGGATTGATACGCTCAAGAACCTCCACGGGACCAATCTTCTTTGACTTGAGTTTGTTGTAGGCGCGCAGAGGTAACCGTTCCTTAGTCAAATATACCCAAACCAAATCACCAGGAGCAAACAAAACCTCACGCCGTTTTGTATCTGCAGCTTGTTTGTATCGCGAGGCCGAAGATTCCAAATTTTGCTGCGCAAGCTGGTGTACTTTCTGTAAATCATTGACAAAGTCAATGGCTTCGCCATGATGGCGAGTACGATCCGGTGGAGTCGTAAGATCCAAAGGACAACGCGGGACTAGACCATAGACGACGCGGAATGGAGAGAAACCCAAGCTCCGGTTATGGGCGTGATTATGGGCGAACTCGGCTTGACACAACTTGGCATCCCATGACTTGATATTATCACCTACTAAACAACGCAACAAATTTCCCAAAGAGCGATTAGTGACTTCGGTTTGCCCATCGGTCTGAGGATGGTAAGCGGAACTCATATCAAGTGTCGTTCCGAGAAGCTTCCACAACGAACGCCAAAAGTGGCTTAAAAAGCGAGTGTCACGATCCGAGACAATAGACGATGGCAATCCATGCAAACGATAGATTTCTCTGAAGAAAAGAATGGCCACGTTGACAGCATCAGTGGTCTTCTTGCAGGCGACAAAATGGGCCATTTTCGAGAAACGATCGACGACGACAAAGATGGAATCATATCCTCTCTGCGTACGGGGTAAGCCGAGGACAAAGTCCATGCTCACATCTGTCCATGGTTGAGTCGGAACTGGAAGAGGCAAGTACAACCCGGCGTTGGTCGCTTTCCCTTTGCCTTGTTGACAAGTTCTGCAACGTGCGACAAACCTTTCAACATCACGTCTAAGAGTAGGCCAGAAATAAGAGTCCATGACGAGCTGAAGTGTGCGATCTCGACCAATATGACCCTCGTTATGGAGCTCTGTAATAATCTGCAATCGCAAGCTACTTTCAGGAATACATAAGCGCACTCCCCGAAACAAGAATCCTTCTTGGACGGCATAGTCATCCGTGGTACCCTCCTTAGCGTCGAGAAAGATGCGCGCGAAAAATGGGTCAGTTTCATACAGCTCCGCTAGTGAGTCAAAACCCACAACCGACGTGTGCATAGTCGTGAGCAACCCATGACGGCGACTTAATGCATCCGCTACCCGATTTGTTTTACCGGACTGATGACGAATGGAGAAAGTGAACTGTTGGAGATACGATATCCAACCGGCATGGCGTGACGAAACTTTTGACTGACTATCAAGGTGCCGCAAAGCATCATGATCGGTAAAGAGTATGAATTCGCGATGAACCAAATAATGACGCCAATGTTTGATAGCTTGAACCACAGCGTAGAACTCGACGTCATACGTACTATAGCGACTACGCGCACCAGCCAACTTTTCGCTATAATACGCAACAGGACGACCATTCTGGCTTAAAACCGCCCCGATACCAAGTTTAGAAGCATCGCTATGCAGTTCAAAAGTAGCATTGAAATCAGGCAGAACCAGAATAGGTGCCGATGTCAACTTGTCTTTAATTGTAACAAAAGCTCGTGATGCGTCTAGGGTCCATTCGAACTTACCCTCGCGCATACAATTCGTGATTGGAGCCATGATGGAGCTAAAGTGTGGAACAAATCGTCTGTAGAAAGACGCGAGGCCATGAAAACTTCGAATCTCAGACAGAGTACGCGGCTCCGGCCATGACCTAACAGCATCGATTTTGGAAGTGTCAACGGCGAGACCTTGGTCCGAAACCACATAACCCAAGAACAGGACCCGAGACACGCCAAACTCACACTTGTGTTTAGCCGCATAAAACTCCTCCTTCCGCAAAACTTGAAGGACTTGACGTAAATGTTCTTTATGCTCAGCCACGGATGTACTGAATATGAGAATATCGTCAAAGTAGACAACCACAAATTTGCCAATAAATGGTCGTAACGCCTGATTCATGATTCTCATAAACGTGCTAGGCGCGTTTGATAGACCAAATGGCATTACTAACCATTCAAAAAGGCCCTCCCTGGTTTTGAATGCGGTTTTCCACTCATCGCCCGGTCGAATCCGTATCTGGTGATAACCACTCTTGAGATCGATTTTGGAGAAGATCTTTGACGTGCCAATTTGATCCAATAAGTCATCAAGACGAGGAATTGGAAATCGATACCTGACGGTGATTTTATTTATAGCACGGCTGTCGACGCACATACGCCATGATCCGTCTTTCTTCGGAATCAATAACGCAGGGACTGCGCACGCACTAAGGCTTTCGCGTATATGTCCCTTCTGCAACAAATCTTCCACCTGGCGTCGTAACTCTTCATGTTCCTTAGGACTCATGCGGTAGTGTGGTCGGTTTGGAAGGGTTGCGCCTGGGACGAGGTCGATTTGATGTTGAAGTTCCCGTAATGGAGGCAATCCGTGGGGTAGGTCTGTAGGGAATACATCGTTGAATTCGTCGAGGATAGTAGTTAACGCTTGTGATGGTGGAGATGCGAGTGATTGGTGAGGTTGAGAAGGCATGAGGGCAAAGGCACGTCCTTCTTGCCTGAGTTCCGAGATAAATGTGGCGTATGAGCAAAGCAAAGTAGTGTTTTTTGTTGGTGGTTGGGACATCGGTGTTGCCGCAGACGGTGGTGAAGACATCTGTCCCAGCGGTTCTTTAGTTGGAAGCAAGACGATTGTATGCGTGTTCCATGTGAACTGGTATGTGTTCTCTGCGCCGTTATGAACGATTTTTCTGTCGAACTCCCATGGTCTTCCGAGTAAGAGATGACTGATGTCCATTGGTGCTATGTCGCAATATAGACGGTCCTTGTAATGAGGGCCGATGGAGAACGAGACCAATGTGCGCTCAGAGATACGGACCGTGGCACTGTCGTTAAGCCAACCAAGAGAGTAAGGTGCTGGGTGTCGTTCACGGACCAGGCCTAGTTTAGTGACTGCTTCTTCGGAGATCACGTTTCTGCAGCTCCCGGAATCTATGACGAAACTGCAGACGCGGTCGTTGATAGTGCAGGTGGATCTAAAGATGTTTGTCCGTAACCACTTTTCGTCAGAACGACGAGGCGTCAAGCATGAGCGGCGTAAGACAAGCATTTGTCCGACATCACCTTCTGTCGGGTGTATGACATCCGTGTCTGTTGCATTATCCTCTTCCTGAGAATCGTACACGCCATGATCGGTCTCGGGGTCTGCTGCTATGAGGCCGCGACGTGTGGAGTTGGGACATGCGGTCTGTCTGTGCCCTTGTTCTCCACAACTAAAACAACGCAGTGCGTTTGGACGCGTAGAGCGCCGTAATTGTGGATCATATGCCGGTCGATTGGTTGCTGTTGCGGACTCCCCTGTGTCTTTCGTAGCTGGAGAAGTTGACGTAGTTGCAGGTTCGTGAGTTTTAGCGCGAAGAGAGGACTGGTTCCAAGAGCGAGACTGCTGTTCAAAGGTAGCGGCACGGCGATGAGCTTCATTAATTGAGGAAGGATCAAACTGAGCCATGGCGTTTTGCAGTTGTGGGCGTAGACCTCCAATAAATCGAGATACCAACTGGATTTGGCTATCATTAATATCTGTCCGTGTGAGTAACAAAGAAAATTCTTCCGCATATTCATCAACGCTGCGATTTCCCTGCCGAAGATTCTGTAATTTGTTGTAAATTGTTCGGTCGTAATTGTGAGGCAAGAACGTTTGACGCATGTGCTTTGTCAATTTGTCCCAAGACTGAATTGGCGCTTTTCCGGTTCGGCTACGTGTAGTTTTCAATTGTTTCCACCAAGTGGCGGCGTGACCGCGAAATTTCATAGCAACAAGAGCTACTTGACGGTTAGGAGGAACTTGTTTAAATTCGAGAATCTCCTCTACCGAGACTAGCCAGTCGATGAGATCATCGCCCTTAAGCCCTCCATGAAACTCGGGAATGTCGATTTTGAAACCGTTTTCCCACTTGTTGGTACGAGCGTCCTGTTGTCGCAAATCTTGAAAATAGACCTGCCGGTGAAGCTCTTCCTCGTCATCTGAATGAGTTGGTCGTGCTCGATCGTCGGTTCTAAGATCGAATCTTTGTTGTTGTCGCTGGTGTTGTTGTTGTGGTGGCGGAAGATGTTGTTGTTGACGTTGTGGTAGTTGTCGGAGATCGGTGCCCTGCAGGTTCCGTGTATCCAGACGTGTAAGGATGGTATTCATAGTATCCATTCGAGTTGTCAACGATTCGCCCAATCGTTGGATTGAGTTCTGCATCGAATTCTCGATGGTGGTGGCAAACGATGCTTGCATCTCGGTAAGTATAGCTCGTAATTCGGTCATATCCATAGATGTTCCTTCTGCTGTTTTCTTTGTCATGAAAACGATAGAAGAAAATCCAGAAACGTACTGATTCTGATACCAACTGATGGAGAGGCGGAAGCTTGATAACAAGATGACTCGACAAGAACGCGGGAACTTGTAGAATCGATAGGGTTCTAATCGATGTTGATACTCTCAACTTCGATTAAGACGAGTTCTTTGACGTTTGTAATATCTTTAACAAGGTCAAAGGGGCTAGAGTACTCCTCTAAGTGCTGTAAAGCTCTGTATAAAATTATAATCAAATCAAAGGTGTCTAATTACAAGAACGTGATCTTCTTTTTATAAGAGAAAGAAGATCCTAGTTTCAAAAGTAAAAGGGAAAATATAAGAAAACCTAAACTAAAAGGGAAAACATATTATGGTGTCGTGTGTTGAGGATGTTACGCTACATCAATTATCATTATATGATTTAATCTTATAAAACTTTATGTAAACAAACGAGAAAATTAAAGTAAAAAAAAAAAAGAACGGAAATTTTAATCAAGAGGTTTGAAGATGAAGTGGTTTAGGTGGATCCATGGTTCGTCTCTTCCACAAGTTAACTTCTGTCTTCGGTTTCAAACTCAACGGAGCTGAGAACGGTATTATTATATCATCATCTTCTTCTTCATCGTCATCGTCTCTCAAGAAACCTCCTCTCCTCTCATCATCTGAATAGTAACCACGATCAGCAGGAGATTCTTCCTCACGTTTCATCTCAACCGCCCAATCAAACCCTCCTAAACCTTCACGGCTGCTCGCAAACTTCTTCATCTGTCCTAACGACGGCACCGCCGCGGAGGAGACCACCGTGACCGGATGCTCATTCACGGCGGTGGTGGTGTGAGATTTTCTTGATGCTTTACCTTCAGACGCCGAGGAGGAGAAAGAGAAGAGACGCTTGATCATCGAAACACGACCTTTTTGATCTTCTTTGGTTGAAGACGACGACGTTTTAGGGATCTTGGGAATCATGTTTCTGTTTTTCTTAGGTGAGGAGGAGCGTTTTGACTTGACGCGTTTTATCTGTCCGATGCAAGAGACTTTAGGTGAAGTGGGTTCGTCCCAAACGGCGTCGCTTTTGTTTCTCCGGACACGAGCTGCTTTAGGAACCAAAGGGACCATAGGACCGGAGAAATACGCTTTGTTCGAAGACGACGTGTTGTTGTGGTGGTGGTGGTGGTGGAGATCTCCTCCGGGACTAAACGGTGGGACACGATGTCCGAACGACATAGCTTTGGGAAGCATCTTCAAGAGCTTGTTCTTCGGTTTCGAAGTTGAAGTTTGGTGTTTACTCTCCATCGATAAGATTCACAGCAAAAAATGAAGATAAGAACAGAGGAACTCTGTTTTGTTGTGTATTATGAGATGTGGAAGAAAGGAAAGAGAGAGGAACACAAGTTTGAAAAAGTCAACGATGATGTCTGAGGTGTTTTGGTCAAATGTGAGCTAAAAGGAAAGAATGACCTTTGTGTTTTATACGGCCGACTTATTATTATATCAAATGTTTAATGCATGTTGATTGTTTTACTAGCTAAATGGCAAATTAAACTTTCCTTTTTTTCTACGCCGATTAGTTTAATTTTCAATGACTAATTTGACTCTAATCTGGTCCTTAAACAATCCAAAAATCAAAATATTGTTACTTTGAGAGCGGTGGTGATTAGTTTGGACCCACACATGCAAAAATGATTAGGCATATAGTAAGGTAGACGTTGGAATTCATTGACAATGCACTGAAGTAGTTGGAGATAACTTTTGCAAATGTTCCACGTAATTCAAGTTTTAATTTCCTTTTTCTGCAATCTAAAAATCTTGTAATTTTAACAACTACTAAAGGAAAAAAAGTTAACTTTAATAAGATTTGTTATCTTTTATTTTAATTTAATAACCAAGTCATATTTTGAATCCATAGGTAAAAATCGAAATGAAAGCTGGATGTTGAAACATTCCAATAGTTGTGTCTGTATGTAACTTATTTAAAGTATTAACCCCGGAATTAGTTAATATCATATGGTTTAGTCGTTTACTTTTTTCGTGCGATTTGTCGAATAGTATTATTGTATAGTCTCTGGTCCCAAAAATATAGAAATCAAAGAATATTAAGTCCATCAAGGCACGAACAACTCTTAATTTTTAAAAATTGCGCCGAAAATGAGACAGAAACCAAACAGACAAAAAAAACTGTTAGACAATGCAGAGGTGTCAATTGCTCAGAACTGAAAATTTGTATTATTATGGTTCAAACACGACACTAAACCAAACTAGCTATATACTTTATTTGATTTTGTAAGCTAAGCTACCTAATTAATTTTGGTGTATGTCTACTACGTGTTAATACTGCGATGGTTCCGAGGCATTCTTGTAGTTGGAAGCATTCAATAATCAATCGAAATATGTGTGTTTAGGGGTAACATTTTGATACTAGTACTTATTTTGCCTGGTTTGCTAGTCAACAGATGCACCTAACATTTTACCATTTATCTCCAATAAGTTGGACCTTCTCTCAACCCTTTGCACAGAGGTAAAGTCGAACTTCAATGTGCCTATACATAGATAACAACTCAATTATGCTAACGGTTCCGAGCTTTTGATAAATTTGAAATAAACAAAGATAAAGCAGAAAACAATCTGAAAATCGTATGATCATTGATTTTGGTTATAATTGTTTTTTTTCCTTTAAAATATGCCAACGCTGAAACATGTCCAAAACAACTTCAAGTTTATTAAAGATGGTTGGTAAACAAAACAAAAAACGTACCAAACCAACCCACAGTAAATTCAATAGCCTGAAATCTTATTATAACAAACCTTGAAATCTTATTACTCTCTTTCATTAAACTCATTGCATGTTTCTCACGTGACTCGTCTTCTCCCATCTTCTTGTTTCTGTTCTGGCTGCAGGCGATATCATAATCAAAGTTAATTGCAGGTTTACAGTACCGAGGGTTAAAGTAGATGAGATCTTGGACACGCAAGGCCCATTATAAAGAGGTGCAAGATTTAGCTACCAGTCTCATCTCAAATAATTTGTAGGCCTTGTGCTCAACTAATTTTGTTTACCAATAGTTATGTTACTTATTATCAACCTAAAAATTTACCTTAATTTATAGCTTTTTTTGATCAAATAAAGATCCTAGTCTATATATATAAAGTAGAACTCTCTTCTTCCTCCTTAAGCCACGTCACTTTACTAAATAAGATAACAAGAATGAGACACGTGTCCTAATGGGTTTGTAGTTTCTCAAATGATGTTGTTGCACGATTTAAGTTCTTACATGGGCCATTATTTACAAACTTAGCTCTGTAAAATAATAAATTTCCAACCCACTAATGAAT